TAATTCTGATATTGAACAACCACAGTCAGCTCCAACTGCACAGACTTCAAGGATCAGCCCCCCAAGACTGGGTCTGCTATAGACACCTGTCACAAGTACTGAGTCCTACATGTCTTAGTCCATTGAATAGTGCTATAACCCCATATCACGGATGAGTAACTTTATTAGTTACTTTTCTGTTGCTGTGAAAAGCACCATGACCAAGGCAACTTATAGACAGGAGCATTTGTCTTTCAGTTCCAGAAGGCAAGAGTCCATCATGGTGGGCGGCAGCAGTAGGTGGAACAGAAAGCTGAGTGATGACATCTTCAAGCAGGCACAGGAAGCAGAGAGAAACTGACAGTCCAGCAGGGCTTAAGGACTCGAAAAACCTTCCCACAGTGATGTGCTTCCTCCAGCATGACCATGCCTCCTAAAGGTTCCATGACCCTCCCCAAACAGCACCATGAGCTGGAGACCAAGTATTTAAATACTTGGAGCCTATGGGGGGCACTCTTTCATACTATTGATGAAAATGAATGAAGGTTTACTTAGATCGTGGTCTGAGGCTCTTTTTCTGGTGCGGACTCATAGCAATGAAGAACCTCCCTGTTCAGGCCTCTCTTCTTAGCAAACCATGGTCATGATGGATCAGCAGTCCACTCCTGGGGCCTCATCTAACCTGAACAACTTCCCAAATGTCCCACCCCAAAATACCATGGTTAAATTGTCACCCTCTAAATGGCTCACTGAGCATTGAATTTCAACCTGAGTTTTTACAGGAACATTCAGATCGTTACATGGTACCCCCACTTCTCTCCAACTTAACTTCAAAGCAGGAGGTTTCAGAACCTCATCTTTCAGGTTCAGTCATTGCTAGAGTGACTTGTGAGTCAGGAGACTTCATCCTCCATCACAAGTTGATTATAAAGGATGAAATGAGTGCTAAGATGAACGGGGAGAGAGGCTCAAGGTTCTAAGATTCTCAAGCAGAGAACCCTCTGTCCCACGAGGCCAGAATGTACCATTGTCCTTTTGTCTTCACCAGCTGGGAGCTCTCTAAGAACGTCTGATGGCACGGGCTCATCTCGTTAATCATCTCATTGGCTGCTGGGGATAACCTAGTCTCCAGCCCCAGATAAGGACTGAAAGCCAACCTCTAATCACTCCTTGGTCTTTCCGGTGATCAAACTTTCCTGAACCTGAGTAGGGTCCCAGTCCCTAGTTACCTCATTGGCAGGCAAAGATTCTCCTGCACTTCAGGGTCCCAGGGTTTTAGGAGCTGTGTGAACGGTTTCATCGTTGGGTACACTGAGGTCAAGATGGCAAGGAAAGAATCACTGATCCTTTCTTTACTGTGGTCTCTGATTCAGCTGCCTGGACAACATCTGGACATTGGGTTCAAGTGTCAGTCCTCAGCAGTTGCAAGCCTGCTGCATCAGGCACTCCTGGGTGGGCTGAGCACGCCCACAGAACATGCTGCACACTCGGGCTAAAGGGGTCTAACCGAGAAATTCAAAGAGGGTATTCTGGTCTAGTTTACAGGGGTAGAAGGCAATCTGGCAGGTATACCCAAAGTCAAGGCACTGGAGGACAGTGTTTCCTGTTCAGAGGAGAGCAGGAAGACAGGCTGGGCGGTGAGAGGACAAGGAAAAGACCACAGGGCAAGCTCACAGTATCACCCAGCCAAAGGATGTCTCCTTTGGGAAGGAAATTCACTTATGGGAGAATGAAGCCAGTGTCCAGCAGAGCCATGGGAGGACACAGCCTGGTCAGCCTTGGATGTCAAGCAGGTAGGGCCTGTCTCTCAGTGGCTGTGTGTGTGCCAGGTGGACAGCTCACAGTGCCTGTCTGCTACTGTTTGACGTTCAGTGGGAGTGAGGCTTCCCTTCACAGGGCTTTCCAGTGTGAGCTCCATCGGCCTGTCCACCCTTCCTCCCCTGCTCACTAGCACAGTCTTCACTGACCCTGTAGTACCTGAGTGGGGTCGGTGACCGCCTGCCAGAGGTCTCAGATCCTACCACGCTGTCATCCGTCTCTGACCCAAGGACCCGATTAATCTGTGGATTTGACATCTGGGCACCTGAGCAAGGTTATCGGCCCACCCTGTGTTCAGGCTGCCCCAGGGCCATGCTGCCCTTTCTCCATCTGGTCACACCCAGCCAGGCGGAAGCAGGCCTTAGAGAACAGTCATCCAACCCTTCTATAACTTCCGAAATCTGTCTGTTAGGAACAAAACAGAGTGCTGGTAAGATTAAGGATCACAGTCAGCAGATACCCATGTGATTTCTCCTTTACTGCCTGGATGTACTGTGTATGATTTTAATCTTACTTTTCTATAGAAGTAATGTTAAAGACATTCAGAATATTTTCATGAGTTTTCTTACACTTGTAAAACTCCAGTGGACTCTCATATGAACATTTGAAATTGCCCTGTTCTGACTTTTTTCTAGTTCCCTGTCTAGAACTTGTAATGCTAATTACTCTGGCCTTTACTTCTCCTTCACATCTCCTAGTCACAATTCAAGGACTTTCTTCTCCCCCTAGAGATAAGAGTTATGCCCACTGAAGGGGTACTCCAATTGCCTCACCCTGCATCCCTGTTCAGCATGGAAGAAGCCAGAGTGGTCTACATCCCGATTCCGTATTGGCAATTTGGGTAACCTCTTCAGAGGATGGCGTGATAAGAATAGGAGGTAGGAATTGGCTAGGCAGTTAGGGTAAAAAGACCCCAAAGAAGGTCAGAAATGACTAAGTTTCAGAGACCAAGAGACTGTAAAGCACATGACCCTGAATAAGATTCCTATCAAAAATGTCACCCACAAATGACTCAAAGACCACTGTGGAAGAGAAGGTGGAAAGACTCTAAGAACCAGGGTTGGTGCATGAACATAAGGAAATAGAGGATTTCAGGCCTCTAGAAACTTGCTCATGAACTTGTAACAATGGTGACAGCATGTACAAGACCTATGCCGATGCAATCAGACAAAATCTAGCATAGAACAGGGGAAATGGACTGTGGGTCCCAAGCCTAGCCGAGGAACTATTAGGAAATGATTGTTGTGGGGTGTGGGAGACTATATCTTCTTTAAGGGAATGATTGTAGATAGGCTAACTAGATTCCAGTGGTTGAAGTTGCACTGAGGGACACCTGGATATAAATGCTTGGCTGGATAGGACTTAACACACATGGCAGAATGCATGAAATCCTGGGGGGCAGGGCTATGGGAGCCATGGAGTGGGGAGGGAGTCTAAATTTGATTAAGATTTATTATATGAAATGCAAAAAAACCTCAATACAAAATTGTCAGTCAAATATATATATATATATATATATATATATTTCAGCCCCTGCTAAATAATCTCATGAACAGCAGGGGTCCTAGGTGCCAACTGCTCCTTCAGCAGTGTCACAGAATTGGAGTTGGGCCTCAGGCCTGTGGCCTTGGCTGAGGCTACTGGTTCAAACTCAGACGTCTCAAGAATATTGACTTGCAGTGAGTGTGACTTTCCTGGGGTGGCCTCACTTGGCTCCAGAAAGCAGGGTAAAATGCCAGGCTTAGTTCTAACGTGTCCTTTCGAGATTTAGTTTCCTTGAACAGTTCTTAGCTCCCTATGGAATGGAGTGTTTGGGATGGATGGGCTCCTTTGCCTACTGGAAACACCTCTTTGGTCCATTTCCTCATGGGAAGTTCTGACAGCCTATGACCAATGGATGGAGTTTGGGGCACAGCAAGAAGTTAAGCAAAGTCCTGCCAAGGCAAGGCTGCTGAGGGAGAGGAACAGACGGCCCATGTGGCTATCACAGCTCCTCTATCCTCGTTCTCAAGTGTAATTGTTAATCTGTCTTTACACATTTGTGCGATTTCCTTCTGACTTTTATTTGGTTAGTCTACTTTCTTCTCTGTGGAATAATTATCACTTTTAGCATATACATCTAGTACTAGCCTATTTTTATAGCATGACTAAATATGCATGAGAGGAAGCTTTCTTTTTAACCACTTTTGAGTGTGTACTTTGATGACACTAAGTGTGTTTACAGTATTGTACAAACATTGCCAACCGCCCATCTCCAGAACATGCTCACTTCCCTAAATCTCTGTGCTCATCCAGCAATAATCACCTGTGCTCCCTCGTTCCTGCCCTGGAAGCCCCTGTTCTATTTTCTGTCTCTGTATTTGACTTCCTGATATCTTGTAGACTATTTCTTCTGGGAGAAGTTTAGTCAGTTGAAATAGTAAGTGTATTTAGGGATTTAGAGATACTCACAAAACCTCACAGGGGACATGTGTGGAGACTGAGGACCAAACCCACTTTCACTACCATTGGCCTCCTCAGCTGAAATTCCTAAGTCTGACTCTGAAAAGTTTGACGTTGGGATAGTGGCCAGGGTGCTCTTCAGCTCTGTGGATTCTCTGGCAATAAACTGCTAATCATTTTGTTGTTTTTTTCTCTTGATGATTTATGAGAGTTGCATCCTCTTGCCATTTCTTGAACAGAAAAATGAGACATAGAGTCCAATGTTAGCATCGCTTTAGCAAAGTGACTGGTATTCCTAGCTACGGAGAGGACTGGTATATTTCACCAAATGAATCAGAGCAGCAGTTGTGAAAGCCATGTTGAACTGATTGATTGATTGATTGATTGACTGATTGATTGACTGACTGACTGACTGACTGACTGATTGATTGATTGATTGATTGATTGATTGATTGATTGATTGAAGTACTGGGGATTGAGCCCAGGCCTCCCACATATGAGGAAAACCCTCTCCCATTGAGCTATTCCCCAGACCCATATCTGTTGGAGTGTAGGGAGAAATATGTGCAACCTGGGACTGATTAAATGGGCTAAGAAAGGTCATAGACATCAGAAAATTAAGATGTCTGTAGTTGGCCTGTTGGACATTAACACGAGGCATGAAATCATGCTGAAGGTCTTTCTCTAGGCTCTACGAGCTCTTCTGCCTTTGTCGCTGGGCATGAGTGCGAGTCTCCATCACATGTCCTCCTTGTCCACAGGGTGGATGAGTTCCCAAGAAGGCTGCTACAGAGACCTGAGGGTTCAAGTGAACACATCCTTCTGCAACCCCAAGACCAGACCGGCCACAGGGCTGGTGCCCTGCAAGGTGTCAGCCTGTCCTCCCAGGTAAGAAGCACCACGTTAATCTTAGCAAGTGCAGGGTTTGCAAATCATCGGAACCACCAAGCCTGGAGGATGACAGGAATAACTGTAGCCCTGTGATTCATCACAGCAAAGAGGAAGAAGAGCTGCCTGAACAGACAGTGCAGTGAGGTGAGAGAGACAGTCTACAAAGTCTCCCACCTCTCAGGGGAAGCTCTTCCCACCATGTCTCAATGTTTACTCTTTCTTTGCTAAATCTCAGGCCAGCACACATCATGGTGACAGTAATGGATTCTCTCACAACCTCTCATGTCAGTCACTGCTGTTTACTTTTCACTTACTGTGTGACAGGTGCTGGAAGAGCCACTCCAAAGCCCCCCACGCAAGGCCTGATCTGCCAGGGCCTCACTATCCTTAAGTGGGGACAGGTCATAGGACGAAGAGAAAACTCAGTGGATGGCACTCTTAGGTGATGAAATTCTAACTCCAAGACCTTCCAGAATGCCGCTGGAACTCGAGACACTCAATAAAAATAACCCAATACATCTGGATTATGACAATCCATGGAGTATGGCAAATTGGGGACATGTCTGAAGACATGTCCCTCAGGAGCACATAGCTGCCTACGTGTTTCCAAGACAGTGGTGTTCTGGAAGGTGTAAGTGCCATCTCCGGGTTCCCTTTGGATCCCCATGTGCCTCCAGACTCTCCGAATAGAAATGGTAGCTAGCATTTAAGAAGTTTGGAGTCAGGGCCTTGAGGTGCTCTCACAAGGGACACCCTCCGTGCATCTGGGAACCCATGCATGCCCACAAGGCCACCTCAAGTGTGGTTCCTTGACCCCACAGCTTCTGAGACAAACACTGGTCAGAAGTTACACAGGATTCTGGTGCTTATGAACCCAGTCACCCAGTTGTCTTGGATGCCTCTGTGGGATTTGCTCTAGGATGAAGTGATGCTCTGGGGATTTCTGTGCACTGGTAACGATGATCTGCAGTTCTCAGGTCTTACAGTTCGCCCATGCACCCCGGCACAGGCTGGCGAGTGATAGCTACCAGCTTCTGCACTGATTGCCTTGCAGGCTGGGCTGAGCTGGACTGTAGGGGTACAGCCTGCCATCTGCTTCTAGGTCAGATTGGTCCTGCTGTGGGATTGTTTGGGGTCTGCAATGGGCTTCCAATGCAACTACTTCAAGAGCAGGATGCTCAGGAAGGTAACCCCATAACCAGGAGTAAATAGGGCATCTCTGTCTGCAAAAGGGAAGAAGGCTGCTTCCCCCAAAGAAAGAGGGTTGAGAGACGAATGCAGCTGGACACCGCCGGAAGTGCTCCCGGCAGGTGTTCATCCGGAACAACCATGGCAGGTGGGAAGAGAGCCCCTCGTGGCACGAGCTCAGCCCTCTGTTCAGAGCAGCTGGGTGTGTGCAGAGATAATGAAGGACAGTGGGCGAGTGGAAGGGAAACCGTGGGTGTGAGAAGTGGGTGGGTTCTGATGAAGTCTTGGGTTTCCGCACTGTTAGAAGTCCAGTGCCGCCCCTCAAGGGAGGGACCTTGTCCTCCCCGGGTGACCGGACCGAGCAGTATGTGCTTCCAGTAACCGTGCTTGGCTCAGGCAGGTGCGTCATGGAAACCCGGATCATATCTTTGAACTGGAGTCAAGGCCTGTCCCAGAGGGTTCAGAGGTGCCTGGTTAGAGCCTTGTCGTTTGCAGTGACAAGTGCTTGGCCCTCTGTCCTTGGACAGTGCCTGTGCTCCGGTTGCCACCATGAGGTGGTAGGAAAGCCTTGGCCCCCTGTCTTCTCAAGGGGTCACGGATATATATCAGCACATTGCTGTTTTTCTTACAGCTCGCCCACTTACAACTAGTGATGTTTTCCTCATGGGATTCCTGTCTCTCTTTCTGGTATGGATCCATGGCCAGGCATCCCTGCCTTTTCCTGTCCTGTATTCTGTGCGTCACTCATTCTGATACAGTTTAGTTTATAAAAAGAAAGGAAGAAAAACAACTCTGTCACTAGCCCTGTACAATAAACAAAAACGTCACAGATCATTAACAGAAGTGTCAGTTTGGGGGCTGGTGGTCTCCCAGGAAGTCGCAGTGTCTGTCTGTCTTAACTACTTCCTTGATATATCTTGGATTTTAGACTATTTGGATTGTCCTCTGAGATAGAAAGCATTCTAAGACAACACAAAGTCTCCCTGCCAGCCCCAAGCTAAGGGACTGTGGCTGGGTAGTTCCTCCAGAGCAGGGAGAGTGCTTGCAGCTTCCTTTTTCTTCTTGGGAGGGGGGGGGGGCTGATAGCCACGGGGCTTCATGGGTCTCTAGTTGCCTGGGAAACAGAACCTAGGCTCCAACACCAGGTCTGCTGCAGGCAGTGCTCCCCAAGGCAGGCATCCCACTGCCTGTGGCTGGACTGAAGGAATTGCAAAGCCTGGGGCAGCAACTGGTGAAAGGCTCTGCCTGCCTACACCCACTGAGAAAAACATCCAGTCTTTGTGGTGCCTGCCCCACAGGGAAAGGTGGGGCCCAGTCCAAACATTCCTAGTTACGAAATCACTAAATCTTGGCTTTATTTATTTGTTCTCGTATCTATTAATGTAACCAGAAAAACAAATTCAGTTATTGATTGTGTAAAGCAAAGTTATCAAGGACAAAACAAAACAAAAAGAACCCATATTAATGTTAATCCTTATGGATTACCGTTTTATTTTCTCACTTTGCTTTTGCAATTGAGTTGAGGAAAATAGGTTTTAATCTTAAATGTTTGTTTATTCTCTGTAAAGTAAGAAATATTTCTTTCTTGTCCAAGATACTGACACCTTTGTTCACTGCTACTGGGCAGTGAGCCTTTTTTGACAGGTTGTGTGTGTGTGTGTGTGTGTGTGTGTGTGTGTGTGTGTCCCCTCTTCCTCCCTGTCAAGTGCCATGGCCTTCTCCCAGCTAAGTGTGCAGTGGTTTCAGTCTGAACAATCTCCCCAAGCTGCAGCCTCTGTCCTGCCTGAGCACAAACCTCTCCCCCTTTCTATTGCTGTCCTCACAGACTAACTGGTGGGGTAGGAGGGTCAGAGGTGATGCTTCATGTTCAGTTTGGGCAGGGGGGGGGTCCCCAGAGGACCGGGAGTAGAGACAAGCTCCACTGGTTAGAACTCTGGCCTCTGAGTCAGCAGCTAGATCCTGCCTGCTCATACCATTTCCTCTTAACGTATTTATAATTGACTTCAAAATTCCACTATGTCAGTTTGTAGTTTCAGCATGAATTGTCCTGTTATTTTTTTAAATTATTTTATTCATTATTTTTTATTTTTACTTTATTTGTATGTGTGTATTCCTTGCATGTAGGTAAGTGTCGTACAATGCCCACAGAGGACAGAAGAGGCTGTCAGATCCCCAGGAACCGGAGTTTCGGACAGTTGTTAGCTGCCATGTGGGTACTGGGATTCGAACCTGGTTCTTTTGCAAGAACAGCCAGTGCTCTTAACCTCTGAGCCATCTCTCCAGCCCCCATCCTGTTATTCTTAAAGAGAGCCGTCCTTACATCTAAGATTATCTTCCATCTTGCGATCTGTTTTGTGAGAAATTAACATTGTAGTGTCCATGTACTCTATTTACTTAGTTTTCATTTTATTTTGTGTATGAGTGTATTGCCTACCTGTGTACAAGGGCATTCGTTTTATGCAGTGCCCACCGAGATCAGAAGAGGGTGTTGAGTCCCGTGGAACTGGAGTGGTGGTTAGCTGCGATGTGGGTGCTGGGATTCAAGCAGCCAGTGCTTGAATTGTCTCTCCAGTCCCCACTTCAATACTGAAATGGATTTGCCTTCAGTAAATGATAGTCTGGACTTTGATATTATCAAGTGAAGAATGCCTTTATGTAGGTTTAATCTACACATGAATTGTGATCGCTGGTCTGTTTTCTTTTGGATCTCCTGATTCTATTTGCTATGCTTTTCCTTCGCATCTCTTCCTGCCCAGACCTTAAACCACAGTAATCTGCTTTAGAATGTGAAACAGGAATTAATGACTTGATTTGTCATTTATATTAACATCTGCTAAGAACGCAGGTTATTTGGGGGGGGGTGTTGATATATTGTGATTCTCAAACCACCTTTGAACAAACCCTGCTTTTGACAAGCACATCAAATACTTGTTGACTTGATCATCTCCCTTTACAGCAGTGATATTAGGATCTATAAGGAAAATAATTAGCTACTGCTCTGTCTTGCAGCCATGACAGAAGTTTTACTTAATAGATTTGAATAAGATCACTGGCTCTTAGGTTTCTCTCATTATTCTTCTCTCTTGGGCTTCTAATTAAGCAGCCCTTCTTTGACTTACGAAGCTTCCAATAAATAATGCATAACTGTCCATTGCTCTCCTACAGCAACCATACATTTTAAACAATTTTCTCAGATGTAAGATGTGTTTTCAGTTTAAACATCATTTTCAAGAAACACCTCCTCCCACTGAAGAAACAGTGTTTTGGGTGAGAAAGGGATCAGATGCCGCTGTGAAAGTCAATTTGTTTACCAGCGGGTCCATTGAAGCTCAAGGAGTCCTTAGATGCAAACAGACTCCTAATCTGCTTCTGGCTGTGGGCTCTGAGCATGGGATCCTGGCAGAGGAGACCGCAGTCTCCTAGTGTTTAGGTCTGTCTGGATGCTATACAAGGCAGGAATCCAAGCAGGCATTCCCACTGGTTTCCAGCCACCCACACTGTCTCAGAGTCCGATTCTACTTCTACACTGAATGGAGTCCCAACCATAACATCTTTATAATTATTTTGATGAATTTATTATATATTTCCTTCATTTAAGAGTAGAATAGAGGGATCTGGATAAACGCCGCACTGAGTAATTGTGCTTGCTGTGGGTCCCTGAACCCACGTGAAGGGTGGAATGTAGTCCTGAGCCTGCGTGTAACCTCTGAGCTATGGGGGAGGGGAGTAGAGGCAAGAGGATTGCTGGTGGGGTTTGCCAGCTGCAAGAGTGGATCCAGATTCAATGAGAAAGCCTGTCTTCAAAGGAT